AACGAAATCACTGAAAACAACTTTTTATCGTTTTCAACTTTTGTTCACAAAGTTAGATTTGTTTTCAATGTGAGGGAAAACGAAAACGATGCACCGAACGAACGTGTATTTACGAAAAACAAGAAACAAAAACAGAAAACGGGCTCAAAAAATATTACCGGGCCCTTATATTGTCTTAGAAATAGCTGGCTTATGTGTTATTGTGCTTTCTTGCTTTTAACCAAGCTTATTGCTTTAGAAATAAATAATTACTTGCTGAATAGCTCAAGTTTTTGCGCAGGTACGACACATTTGAGCAAGTTTAAATATTTGGAACCATGTCTAGCCCAGGACCACAATCTACACCTGCTTCCACAGAGCCTAAGCATCCTTCACGTCACCTGCTAGAAAAAAGCAGTAGTACGTATGATATCTGTTTAATATGAAGAAGAGTACAATGAAACATTTCGTGATTCAACACAAATTAATTCGTCATATGACTTGATTCCTTTAAATTCTACACAGGAGAAGCATACTTGGACTTATGTGTGCCCCTGCACAAAGCTGCAATAAAGGGTGATTGGGATACCGCTAAAAGAATCTTAACTAATAATCCTACACTTTTAAGTGCTAGCATAACGAAAGGATGGCAGACTGCTCTTCACATTGCAGCAGGTGCAAGGCATATTCACTTTGTGGAGGAACTGGTCAAAATGATGGATGAAGAAGACTTGGCACTTCAAGACAAGAAAGAAAACACTGCATTGAGTTTAGCCGCCGAAGCTGGATCCATAGAAATTGCAAAGATTATGATTCAGAAAAATAAGTTCTTGCCAACAATTCAAACTGGTAAAGGACCGACACCGCTCTTTAAGGCTGCTTTGCTAGGACAATCTGAAATGGCGTGTTACTTATATCCTAAAACGTATCCAACACTAAGTGAAACGAACCGCAATGCTCTATTTTTTTCTTGTATCGATACTGGTCTTTATGGTAAGTTGCACAAATTCTTCTTCCTTATGTTATTCTCTCTCTCTCTCTCTCTCTCTCTTAATAGCATTTATCAAATTAATGGTGGAGCTTGTTAAACATTAAACAATTAATTTATATTTTCTTTTACTCATATCTTAGATTATTTGACTTAGATATAGTAGAACCAGTTCCACCCATTCTAGTAATTTAATAGGAATTTTTTTTGCCCATTCTAGTATTTTCTTTTACTCATATCTTAGGTTAGGTACCCTTTAATTCTGTTGAATTTTAGTCATCAAGTCTATAAGAAGATGTCTTCTATATTTTTATGTGCACTTAGAAGTGGAGGAATCAGTTAATAATAAACTTTTACAACTGGTTTATTTCAAAATTCTTTGCATTCTTTCTTTCTTAGATCCCTATGACATTATGCAGATTTAGCCATGAAGATGCTAGAAGATGATACAACACTAGCAACGGCCAGTAATTCCAAAGCAGAAACTGCCTTACATGTCTTGGCTCGAAGGCCTTTAGAATTTGGTGGCCGAAGTACTTTAGGAATGTGCAGTAGGCTCATGAAATCATGTGAGTTGATTCTTCGAAAATTATATATGATATTGACATGTGTAGTAATTAGTTGTGTGTTTTTGTTTATTTGGCAATCTTGATCTTGTTGTTTATTGACATTTTTACATCTTAAAATTTAAGTAGTCTCAGGCATTGAGGATTCGTATAAAAGCTCGAAGCAAACTAAAGCCCTAGAACTAGTCAAATGCCTTTGGAATCAAATCTTGAAACATGACGATGACTATGTCATGTGCCTCATCACAGAACCTTCGGAAGTACTATTTGATGCGACGAGATTAGGAAATTATGAGTTCCTGTCTGTTCTTATTAATGCTTATCCAGATTTACTATGGGAAACTGATGACGAAAATCGGACTATATTCCATGTTGCAGTCTTGTATCGTCATGCAAGTATCTTCAATTTAGTACATGAAACGGGTTCAATCAAAGACATCATAGTGACATTTACTGATGATGAGAATAACAACATTTTACATCTTGCTGCAAAACTAGCACCTCAAAATCAACTCAATCTTGTGTCAGGAGCAGCTCTACAAATGCAGCGAGAGTTAGTATGGTTTGAGGTACCTCTCCATGTACCCTTACAATCTTTACCAATTTATTATGTGTTAAATGTCTTCTCTTAAACATTATTGCCCTTTTTGTAAACATTTCTTTTTTATTCAACAACTGTATGTACACGAGATTCGAACTCATGATATCTTCCAATAACACAAAGTGGAGACTAAATTACAAACACTTAAGCTCTTATCTATCATAGTAGCAGCTGTCAAAAGGCATTGCACAATATAAAATAACATTGAATCTAAGTCTAATGAAATTGATTGGGATGAAAAGAAAGCTCTTGATAGTTTGTATTGGTGGCCTCCTTATTACTTCTACATTTATTTTAAACAGTTTCAATTGTTTGCCCGTAAAATCTTTGTGTCCTTCAATTTTCATCATCGATTTTTCCTATGACAGGAAGTGAAAAAGATTGTTCAACCTCTGTACATAGATATGAAAAACAAGGACGGCAAAACACCTCAAGAATTATTCACTAGTGAGCATGAGGGGTTATTGTGTAAGGGAGAATCATGGATGAAAAGCACTGCAAATTCGTGCATGCTTGTTGCGACCATTATCACCACTGTTGTGTTTTCAGCTGCATTTACCATACCAGGTGGTATAGCTGACAATACAGGAGCACCAAAATTCCTAAAAGATACAGCATTTATCATCTTTGTCATATCAGATGGAGTAGCACTCTTTTCGTCTTCAACTTCCATGCTGATGTTCTTGTACATCCTCACCTCACGGTATGCAGAAAACGATTTTCTCAAATCCTTACCGCTGAAGTTAATGGTAGGACTCGCATCACTCTTCATCTCCATGACATCCATGATGATAGCCTTCAGCACAGCCTTCTATTTATCTTGTCACGACGGATTAGGTTTCGTCTCGGATTTTATATTTATATTTGCATTTGTTCCAGTTGTCTTGTTCGTTTTCTTGCAATATCCACTCTTGTGCGATATGTTCTTGTCAACATACTATTCAGGCCTTATATTTCAGCCAAGAAAACATATGATCCAATAGAAAGCCAAATCCTAATGTTTAACCTTACCCCCAGCATAATGTGTATCTATGCGTTATAATTGAGGAAAAATTTGTAATAAAGTACTTTAGTAATGGTGATATTGATTCAATAAGTCTTCGTACTTTGTGTGCTTGAATCAACAACATTATCTGAAAGGGGGTTTTAGATTACTACAGTTCGAAAGAAGAGTTTTTATTAGAATTTCGTAATCCCATATATGCATTTTTTTCCTACTAATTTTGAATCTTGAATGTTTGAACCTCTGCAATCTACTTAATATTCTGGAAACACTAGTCTACAACACATGAGTTCTTTAACGAGGAAATATTTCCTTGTAGAAAGTAATCAATTCCTCATTAAACTTGTTCAACGAGGAAATATTTTGTGTCGATAAGAAAATAAGTTAGATTTGTAAGTATACATTCGATAAATATTTGAAGTGTACCAAGCTAATTAAGTAGTCTAATTTAGATATGGCAACTAGAAAACCTTAATTTTAGTCACAAATCAATACGTAGCCAAAACTATTGGGTTCGTGGGTAAATGTAAGAATTGAGTGACCGGGTCCAAGTTGGGAGGTCCCAAATACCAAATTTTGATAACTGGAGTGCATTTCATTGTTGTGATGTAAAATTAATGAATAAAATAAGAGTGCAAAATAAAAACAAAAAAAATGTCGAAAACACTTTCAAATTGTTTTAAAAAATCAGGGTGATTTTAAAAACTAGATTTCACTTTTTTGAAAACTGAAAACAACATCTGTTACCAAACCTGTTAGTGTATTCTCTGTCTCAACTATCTTTTGAGTTTTATTATACAAGATAGGACTTTCTGATTTCTAACAAACTGGTTATATTAAAATTAAAATTGCCAAAATAAAAAACCATGAAATGTTCCAAATTCCCTAAGTAATAAATGACACATAACATATATATATATATATATATATATATATATATATACAGAGAGCTTCCATTGAGGGATCCCTCAAATAAGCTTATTTGAGGGACACCCCTTGTAGGCCCCATTATGGATTGTATTTCACTAATCCAAACCGTCTATTTTGTAGATACTCATTCAAAGATCATCTCTACAAAAAATCACTTGAATCCGATATCATTTGACCACTCAATTGAGTTATTGAAATTTAGGTACTTTCTTGAAGCACCGTGTTCATTGATTTTGTAAGACACAATTGGATGTTGAAACGATTTCCGATTTGTCTAATTTTTTGTAAGGATGATCTATGAATGAAGACCTAAAAAATATATGGTTTGGATAATTGGAAAAAAATTGTAGGGTACCCTAAAGGGCGTCCCTCAAATAATTTGAGGGATCCCTCAATAGAAGGGGACTGTATATATATATATATATATATATATATATATGTAAACAGAGCTGGAGCCATGAAGGGGTGGTCCCTGTTAAGATGAAGAGAAACTGAAAAACAGAGTAAAGAAACTGTAGAAGCAGAGAAAATTTTGGAGAAGGAATTGTAGGTTTCTGTATTTTGTTAATCTCTAACTGAGCACATTACAATCTTTATATCAGCCTAATTATAGTCTCAATTGGCTACTCACTTTGCTAACAACTCTAACCACATTCTAACAGCTTACTCATTGATCTATTGACACTGGCAATATCATCATCATTGATACTCTTACATCCCCCCTCAATCTCATGCTTGGAGGAGCCAAGCATAAGATTGAAACAGTGATGTGGTAAAAGAGAGGCAATGAGGCCGTTCATAAGAATATCTTCAAATTGTTCGGCAGAGGAAACATGCTGCAGACACAAGCATGGCTAACTAACAAACTGCATGAGCACAAGGATTTGGAACAGTGAAGAACTATGATATAGAAAGAATAGGAGCAAGCAATATCTAAAATGTGGAAGACCAGAGTGTACAAACAAGATATAGAGTTTCTGTAAAACCAGGAGGCTGAGCCATGTGTTTGAGTTTCCACTGAAAACCACCAGCCAATGCCAAAATGAAACTAACAATGGTTGATGGAACTACTAGCAGGACCGTGGCATTGTAATCAATATCATTGGCTAGCACACATTTTTGTATATCTGGAACTACGTTGAGATCAAAATGCAAAATGCGATCAAAGTGCAATTTTGGCGTCACCAAAGGAATGTCCCCAGCAAACTTGGCATTTCCAGAGATAATAGTCTTGCCAGTTTCACCCTCATCATGAGAACCAGAGGCCTTGCCATCATGTAAGGTCGTTGCCTGAGGCAACACATCATCTGCAGCAATTATTTCATCTGAAAGTTGGAGTTTAGAAATTGGAAAACCAATTGGAGACACAGTGGCTTCCTCTTCAGCAAATGCATCAATACTAAAGATTGTCTTGATTGGTAACGATGGAACAGTTGATGCGGAGGTAGTAAACAAAAACTCTTGTTCACCTACCGACTGTGGGACTGTAGCGTTACAAGATCTTGATTCCTGAGGATAATAGGAAGCAGCTCTACCTTGATTGTGATATTTTGAACCTCTGTGGCAAGCAACAAGCATTATTTCTTCAGCAAGCAATTGACATTGAAACTCCTTGAATGAGAGCATACTTTCTTGGCATTGCATAACACACCTAAAAGTGTTGTATTCTGTAGGTAAACCATTGAGAGCCAAGATGATAATGTCTTCATCAGCAAAGTGCACGCTAACACATGATAGTTGATCTCTTGCATCCTTAATATGATTAAGATATTGAGCTATTGAATCTGAACCTTTCTTCATATTGTAGAGACAAGTCTTCAGAAGAAAAATACTAGTCTTGGTAATAATAGCAAACCTTTCTTTCAAAGTTAACCACATCTCCCTAGCATTGGTACTACCAATTACACAAGAAATAGCAAAGGCAGACAAAGTAGTAGAGATTAATAGCATCAAAGCTTTGTCATGTAACTGCCAGACCTTATATGCTTCAATTTCCTCAAAATTAGAACCAACAACAAACTGAGGTGGACATGGATGGGAACCAATCACAAAACCAAGTATGCCATGACATTCCAGCAACAAGTTCATTTGGAAGTGCCATTGCAAGTAATTAGTATCATCCAACTTGACATGGACATTAGAAACCATAGGAACCAGTGATGCAATAGAAGAGTGAGGAATCACCAACTGAGAGGCAGTCACCATATTTGGACCAAGAAAGGAATCTTTACTCACACCAACCAATAAGTGAGATGCAATCCAAGAAAATCCAGAAGAGTAGAATGAAGAAGATAACTGAGTAATAACAGTTGTGGGCTAGAAATGATCGTTCTTTAACCATAAGTGCAACTCAAATGTCAGAGGAAGCAGAAAAATTGAGGAATGTAAGGTTCCCAATTGAATTTCATCATCGTGCCTTACTTCTAAGTAAGAGTCAATTGTAATTGTGCTAGATTTCAAGATTTGAGCAGAAATAAGGATCACAAGTTGAAGAGAGCAAGAAGAATAATTTGAAAGGTCAATTTTGGAGAAAATCAAGACTAGGATTTCACTGGAGCAATTTAGCAAATAGCCGATAGGCAAAACTATTCTTTAAACTTGCTAGAAAGAATAAAATTCAAGAAAGAGGAGTAGAGGAGAAAGTCATGAAGAAACAGAGGTAATGAGAGAGGTAGAAACAGTAGGAATGAAAGAGGTAATCGGAGATTGGAGAATCTGAAGTTGAGTAGTAGTCACCACGTGGAGAATCCAAGAAGAAAAGAGAAGAATTTAGGGTTGAGAAAGAAAATTTTTTCAGAAAAAGAAATATTGAAGAAAAAATTTCGGTGAAACAAAACATCAAACAGGTAATAGGCAGAGGAAAGAACACGAAATTGGTTGCTGTGTTTGAGTAGAGAAAGAAGCCAAAGAGAGAAAACAAAGAGGAAGAGAGTGCGGAAGCAGAAGAACAGAATATCAAGATCGATCCATGGCGAATGATACCATGTTAAGATGAAGAGAAACTAGGGGTGCACATTATTACCGAAAACCCGACCGAACCGGCCGAACTTGACCGGTTTTGGCGGGTTGGTCCGGTTTTTTTATTCAAATTATTGAAATCGGTAGGAAAACCTGCCGAATTTTTTTAAACCGGCGAAACCCGAACTGGACCGATTTCATTAAATTGCCTAAAAATTTAGACAAATGCCATGATGGGGAATCGATCTCTGCTCATAGTTAATATATAAAGCCCAAATACCACTGGATTGATGTGCCTTCTTGTGTAATGTGTGTATAATTGTATTATTTATTACAATCTAAACAATTTTTTTTAAAGTTAGGGTTTTTCCTGCCCCACACACTCTCCTTTTCTTTTTCTTTTCTCCCACCCCAGCCAACATCCGTTCTTTCTTCTGTTTCTCTCCATCTTTTTTTCTTTCCTCTTCCTCCCGCTGCTGCATCTTCTTCTTGTTTTTTTTTGGATAAATAGCTGCATTTTCTTCTTCTTCTTTCCCTCTTCTCTCCATCTTCTTCTTCTTTTCTTCTTCTTCCTCCCCATACCCTCAACCAGGAAGTGGTCCTTAATCTCAGTTCAATCCTCTGCCATCAATGCTCGCCGAACCAAACCAAACCGCACTGACTTCTCGGCGTGCCGATTGTAGTCGGTCTTGCATCTCCTCGGCGCGGCGGCGGTCTCCAAAATAGGTGCGCCGATGACCTCCGGTTCGGTGGTCGGCAACTCCTCCAAGACACGGTTATCGAACCGTGAACAGCCCTAAGAGAAACTGAAGAACAGTGTAAAGAAACTGTAGAAGCATAGAGAATTTTAGAAAAGGAATTGTAGGTTTCTGTATTTTGTTAAGTTCTAATTGAGCACATTACAATCTTTATATCAGCCTAACTACAGTCTTAGCTGGCTACTCACTTTGCTAACAACTCTAACCACATTCTAACAGCTTACTCATTGATCTATTAACACTTGGCAATATCATCATCATTGATACTCTTACAGTCCCAGGCCCCCTTCAATCTGTTGATCCCTTGTATTTGTATATTATATTATATTATATTATATTAGGGATATTTACTTTAAAATAAATAATATATTAGGTTCATTTTGTCTACAAATTGACTATTAAACTTCTTAATCGCTCTTCTACTTTCAATTAGATCTCCTCGCTAGGTTATGATATTTATGTTAAAACTCCTAAGCTTTTTTTTTTCTTCTCTTTCTCTTCGTCTTTTGTTTATTTTAGGCAGATTTACTATTAGGGGCCCAAATTATAAAAAATCCATATATGAAATGGACTTTAGGAGTACACCCAAAACCCATTTAGAAAATAACAAAGAGGATTTTAACTTCTTAGTGCACTTCCAGCAGTGCTAGCAACCTGGCTGGGGGGGGGGGGGGGGGGGGGGGGGGGGGTGTTTTTAGGCGTTTCCAGCAGTGCCCGGGGCAGGAGGTGGGGGCCAGCAGACTGGGCTGGCCTGAGGTGGGGTTCGGCCCGAGCGCTTGCCCGCAAGCTGAGCTAACATCACGATGACGTCAGCGTTTCAGTTAATTTGTTTTAACGTTGGTGCGTGCAAAGGCAGCCATTGTTTTCCAATTAAAAAAAATACCCAAAAAATTACTGATTTTTGTTTTTTTTTTCTCTATACCTTATTTCCATTTTCAACATTGAAGTAAATGTCTTTGTCCTTTTACTTTCATTTATTTTTATATTACTCCATTTACTTAAGTTTACAATGTAAATAAGGAAGTACCCCCCATTTGGATTCAAATAAAAATACTAGAAAATCAAATTCCCACCAAATCAAAATATGAAAAATTGGTTTTAGTGCAAAATACGATTTAGGCTAAAAATGATGGCTCATTAGTGTAAGGAATAAAAGCCGCCAAAAATTATCTTGAGAAAATTATTATTCCGAAAAACTATTTTTCATACTTAGCCAATATTGCACCTTTGCTAAAAAAATTCTGGGTCCGCCAGTGTCTATAAATACCAACCAATACTCTTCACTTTTAATACCAAATCCTCATACTTTTTTTTTTCTATAAATACCAACCAATACAACTAATAAAATAAAATATTATCCGATATGAATAGTATTGACACGTAGGAACCCAAAAATCTTATTCGAAAATATTATCCAAATTAATTGTTTAAGTAAACAAAGTTGTGAAAAAAACAAAAAAATGAATAATATTTGCCATGGCAAGCCTAAACTGCTGGAAACACACTTTGCTGGGGGGACTAGGGCAACCACTATTCACATGAATAGTAGCAACCCTAGGGCTCCCCTTGCTATGGAAAGAGTTAAACTGCTGGAAGTGCTCCCTTGCCATGGAAAGGGGAGCCCTAGGGCAGCTACTATTCACGTGAATAGTGGCTGCCCTTGCCATATTAAGCAATGTGTGTTTCCAATAGTTGCCCTTTGCCATGACAAATACTATTAATTATTTTTTTTTACAACTTTTTTTTTACCTAAACAATTAATTTGGATAATATTTTCGGATAAGATTTTATTTTATTAGTTGTATTGGTTGGTATTTATAGAAAAAAAAATGTATGATGATTTGGTGTTAAAAATGAAGAGTATTGGTTGGTATTTATAGACACTGACGGACCCATAATTTTTTTAGCGGAGGTGCAATATTGACTAAGTATGAAAAATGGTTTTTCGGAATAATCATTTTCTCAAGATAATTTTTGGTGGCTTTTATTCCTTACACATCAAATAAGAAAATTTGATTTTATGGGATTTTAGTATGAAGTATATATTGACTTAATGAGCCATCATTTTTAGCCTAAATCATATTTTGCACTAAAACCGATTTTTCATATTTTGATTTGGTGGGAATTTGATTTTCTAGCATTTTTATTTGAATCCAAATAGGGGGTACTTCCTTATTTACATTGTAAACTTAAGTAAATGGAGTAACATAAAAATAAATGAAAGTAAAAGGACAAAGACATTTACTTAAATGGAAAATAAGGTATAGAGAAAAAAAAATTAGTAATTTTTTTTTTTAAATTTCCATTTTTTTTTTTGCACAAAAATTGGATGTCGTTTGATTGCTGGAAAAAATCTGATCGGAGAGCCCAACACGCGCCACGTGGACGAGGGCACTGTAGCGGCACGCTGACGTCAACTCAAACCTCGGGCTGGAGCTCGGGCCAGCCCGTGTTGCTGGGTCCCACCTTGCACCCGAGCCTCCCTTTGCTACTGGAAATGAGTTTTTAGCCCAAACCCCCTAGCCCTCCCCCAAACCCCATTGCTGAAAATGCTCTTATAAATTACAAAACTGCCATCAATTTCTTAAAACAAACCCAACCTCAAAACCTCATAAAAATACCCAAAACACTCAATAGGGTATCAAAGTAATTTAATAATCAAAATTAAATTCAATAATGTTAGCTGTCATTTTTTGGGTTTGTTTATAGAAATTAAATGGTGTAGGGTTTATCTATATTATTTGTGCTAAGAATGAGTATATGACTAAATATCTATTTTAGGGAGATTCACTATTATACCTAATATAAGGGCCCAAATGATAAAATAAATAAAAAAGATTAAGCTTCATGAAAATTTTCCATCCCTTTTTACATGATTGAGTAGGGTACTTTAGTAATCGGATTTATGAATTTTTTTTGTATTTCTTCTCTATGTTGGAATATAAATTATTAACTTTTGAGTCTTTATAGTGTAGATGATGAGATTAATATTCAAACATTTTATAACATAAAATTAAGGACAATTATGATTGTAGTGAATGAATAAATTATTAATCAATATAAAATAATATTATAAAGTGGGCTAAACAGAGTAATTAATATCATATTAACTTATTAACCCGTTAGCACTTGAGCACTCCTGTGAATGGATAATTATTAATCAATATGTAATGTATCACTTCGCTCCAAATTGACATATCTTTTTAGGAAGTTTTCTGCAAGTTTCCCTTCAATTATAACCAGCTTTGGTCAAGTGTCTTTTGACTCTTGCCTCACCAACGACAATATAATATCATTTCATCTTTGTTAAATATTAGGTGGTGGTGAGTGAGCGTCGTCTTCTTCCACCTGAAAAGAGAGTACGGATGCCACTGTATTGGCCCAACTAGTCAAGCCTTTCAATTTCAAGAGCACTACTTTTCCACGCCCCTCGGGTCTTATTTAAAACTTTATATTTTCGACATTTTTTTACCCTTTAAAAATAAAATAAAACAAAACACTAATTATATATAATATATTTGGAGGGAAAGTTGAAACTATAGCCAGCCACGTGCCGAGTCTTGAGAGAATATTTTCCCCGTTTTCAGTTGAGACCAATTATTAATGTCTTTCCCACTAAGCAAAGCTAGAGAGAGAGTGGAAGTAGTTCTGTTTGGCTTCAAGACTTTCGAAACGCTTCCTTCCTAGCTATATATAAGCTTCAAGTTTCCACCATCCATGCTATATCTAACTAGACAAGAGTGGTGGTTGCCATTTTAGTCTCTTTCTCTCTCTCTCAAGGGTGGTGCTGGCGGCTGCTCAGCTTTTGATCTGTCTTGTAAGTAACCTGCTTATCCATTCCTCTGGTTAATTAGTTTTTGATCTGTCTCTCAAAACTCCCACACTTATTTTTGTTTTCCTTGTGCCAGGATATTTACTTTATTAATTATTTGTACGGACATGATTCATGCTCTTTTGCTTTTTCACTTCCATTATCTATATTTGTTTTTATTGATCCTCCTCCCTCCCTGTGTAAATCTTGTGCATTTGGGTAAAAAATGATGGAACGTAGTTCTCCATGTACGTATCATCAAAATAGGAAGCCGAATAGAAGAAGAAGAGGAGCGACTAAAATGTTTTTTTTTGGGGGGGGGGGGGGGGGGGTGCGGTGTGGGGTGGAAGGAGGTCCTCTCCTGATGATGCTCTACCCAACTTTCTGTTATCCTTCTTATTCTCTGTAAAAAAACCCTAAACCCCCTCTCTGCGCCGCACTACCTTTTTTTGGAGGGGGGGATCCTGATACCTGCTGCTTGTGAATCTCCTTGTGGAGACTGTCGGCCCCTGTTCTCCCCTTCTTTGTCGGTGGTCTGCTCTCCCCTTTAGTGGGTGTTTTGTTCTCCTTGTTCTGAGGCTTCATGCCTCCTATCTGGTTAGATCCCTCACATCTCCACTACTCCATTCTTCTCAGAGCTGTCCTATGGCCGTCGTCGATTCGATTGTCTGTCTCCTCTTGGTGCGTTGGTGTCTGCGATTCTGGTGAAGATGTTAGTTCTCGGTTGTTGATGGTCAACACCCAGATCCCCCCACTTCCCTTTCGATCCGGTTTCACCGCCCGGATACAACGGCCAACCCAAAACGCGATCTCTCTGTACCCCTTGGAAGGTATGTAGAGCCGCAGCAACGCTCCGGCTCGGGTGCCTGCACCACCTCCTTCCTGCTCCTTGGTTTCAAATCTTGTGCCTTTGGACTGCTTTGAGAGTTACTGGCTTTTGTTGTAGATCTGTGGTGTGGTTCTGTTTTTTCTGTAATTCTTTCGGTTTTCAATTTGGTGTTGTACAGTGTTTTACTGCTTTTAGTTGTGGAATTTTCTTTTGTTTATCTGTTGATATCTCTGGGACAATCTTGTTGTTCTTGTCCATGTGATATCTTCACAGATTAGTTTGTTCCTAGGAGCTTCCTTACTTGGTTGCTAATTTGGCTTTTGTATCTCTTTACCTTCCCTGTGTTTTACTTGGGAGGTTCTGTTTCTAATGAAGATTTGATCTTCCTGACCCCAAAAAAACAAACAAAAACAAAAAAAACAAAAGCATATTTTGACTCCATTTTATTAATTACTCTTTATTTAATTCAAGTAATTCAAGAATAATTAAGCTCTTCTGTACGTGTAGCATGCAAGTTGGGAACACCAATACAAATCATGTGGGATCCACTCACTGGACCACATCTTTTGTTAATTTGGGTCGGTTATCTATATATATATTGAGTTTAGTACAGTTGCTTTATTCGACTCAGAAGCTGACCTTAATTGTATTCAGGAGAGTCTAATTTCCACTAAATATTATTAGAAGTCTAAAGAATCCCTAAGCACTGCTTTAGGAAAGTCGCTTAAATTGAATTATGAGATCCCCAAAGCCCATGTCTTCCAAAATAGAATTTGTTTTAAAACCTCATTTGTCCTAGTCAAAAACATCAATGACGAAGTCATTTTAGGTTTGCCTTTTATTGCCCTGTTATATCATTTTCAGGTAGAATATGACGGAGTCACCTCTACCCAGTTAGGAGAAAAGGTTAAGTTTGAGTTTCTATCAAAACCTGAGTTGCATAATTTACAAGCCCTTCAAAAATGTTCAGTTTCAAAATCTGTCAAAATAATTCATAATAAGAACAATCAATTGAAATTTCTTAAAGAATAAATTAATTTCAAAAGAATTGAACAACAGCTTAGTTGCGAATCATTCCAGTTAAAAATTCAGCAATTTGAAAATAAGTTAAAAAATGAAATATGTTCTGATTTGCCTAATGCTTTTTGGTATAGGAAACAGCATGTTGTTGGTCTACCTTATATCAGAACCTTTAATGAGAAAAATATCCCCACTAAAGCCAGACCAATCCAAATGAGTCGAGAAATAATGGAATTCTATAAGAATGAAATAACTGAGTTACTTCAAAAAGGAATAATTCGTAAATCTAAGTCGCCTTGGTCTTGTCCTGCTTTTTATGTCTAGAAAAATGCTGAGTTAGAAAGAGGAGTCCCAAGCTTAGTCATTAATTATAAGCCCCTTAATTCAGTCTTAGAATGGATTAGGTATCCCATACCTAATAAACGAGATTTGATTAATAGATTAGAAAAAACAGTTGTCTTTTCTAAGTTTGATATGAAGAGTGGTTTCTGGCAAATCCAAATAGATGAGTCAGATAGGTATAAGACTGCATTTGTTACTCCCTTTGGTCATTATGAATGGAATGTAATGCCTTTTGGCCTGAAAAATGCACCAAGTGAGTTTCAGAACATTATGAATGAAATATTCAATCCTTACAACCATTTCTCAATTGTCTACATTGATGATGTTCTAATCTTTTCTCAATCAATAGAACAGCATTGAAAGCATTTGCACAAGTTTCTTCAAGTAGTTAAACACAATGGTCTAGTTGTCTCTGCCAAGAAAATCAAGTTGTTTCAAACCAATGTTCGTTTCCTTGGTTTAAATATTTGTCAGTCCCAAATTAGTCCAATTGATCGAGTTATCTAGTTTGCTGATAAGTTTCCTGATCAAATTCTTGATAAGAGTCAGCTCTAGAGATTTTTAGGGTCTCTTAATTATGTATCTGATTTCTAACAAAATTTGAGAAAACAATGTAAGCCTTTGTTTGATAGGTTACAGAGCAATCCTCCTCCTTGGTCTTCTGATCACATCGAAATTGTCAAAAAAATTAAAAGCCATGTCAAGACACTTCCCTGTCTTGGTATTCCTTCAGTTGATTTCTTCAAAATAGTTGAAACTGATGCCTCTGATATTGGTTATGGAGGTATTCTTAAGCAAAGAGTCAGTTCAAACCACCCAGAACAAATCATTCGTTTTTATTCTGGTATTTGGACACAGTCGCAATATAATTACAGTACTATTAAGAAAGAAATACTATCTATAGTATTATGCATTTCTAAGTTTCAAGATGATCTGCTTAATCAAAAGTTTTTAGTCAGAGTTGATTGTCAGTCAGCAAAACATGTTTTAGAAAAGCATGTTCATAACATTGCATCTAAGCAGATTTTTGCACGTTGGCAAGCTATTTTGAGTATATTTGATTTTGATATTGAGTATTTAAAAGGAGGTGAAAATTCAATCCATGATTTTCTTACACGAGAATTCCTGCAGGATAATCAATGGCCCCGAAAAAAGATAAGCAAAAAGAATTCTCCTATAGTCAGCCCAAATAGTCGCTCAAAATCCTCATTCTTCCATGAATAATCCTAAAGCAGAATTGCCCCAGCAGTTGGTCCCTTACCCAGGATCTTCTCCAATTTCAGTAGCCACACCAATATCAGTTGCCAATAGATATTCTAGCTCAGGTTCCATAGTTGGCCAAATTCGCCTTAGTTACGAGTCATCTCTAATTTCCAATTATGATCCCTTTTCAGTTGGACCTTCAGTTGCCTCACCTTCCTTCAAAAAGTCGTCTCCGTATTTGCCCAAAAGTAATTCTCATTTGTTTATCATTGAGTCTGTTTATGATTGCCACTCTAATCCAGTTGCAATAGCTAAACACTATTTCCCTCCTGGATTCCATTATATGCCACCAAGTCCTTATAAGTCTCTCAAGTATTATAGAGACATTTTACTTGAAACCCAATAAATTGAAATAAGGCCGATAAGGGATCGTGATCACCCTGAAATCATCCTTTATCATTCCATATATGTCCACAGAATTATAAGCCAAGAGTCATTCAGCAGTTATTCCTATGAATTGAAAACCCTCCAGTTGAAATTGCAGTATAATTATTCTGATTATATTGAAGCCTGGTATTCTACTTTCCTTCATCAGTTTGAGGATTTTAGTCATTCTTGGTTTATCAATTTTGACAATAAGCTTAAAGTTCCCATTCCTTACTTATTTCTTCACTGGTGGGAAAAGCATGGTCCAGTTAATGAAATCCTACCCATCCAAATTCATGAGTTGATTCGATATTTTACCAAACAATACAAGTTCCCCAAGCAAGAGTTGTTTTTCCCAAAACAATTGCTTTTTATTTGTAGATATAAAGTCCCCTAGATCCTGAAATGGTCCTACAAAGTTACTAAAGACACAAGAGTCTTTGCCCGCCAATTCTCCGTTAAGTAGTGGGATAAGTTTGAAGTTGACAGAATTGTCAAATATGTTTATAATGATTTTCCTCAAGTTGTTGTTCCCCTTAAGCCTCAGCCTACATCTCCTACTGGTTCAGTTCGATCTTCTCTCTCAATCGAGGGAAAATCAAAATCTGAATTACAGGAAATTGCACGCCAGTTGATTATTCAAGCCTCACAAAGAATGATGATGAGGACAATGATAATGACTCCCAGTCATCATCTAGTTGCCGCCCCATGCAAAGTCCTGCCTAGCCAAAGCGTTGGGCTGATTATGAAGATTCACAAGACCCCTATGACGCATATGATTTGAATTCAGATTAAAGTCTCAAAGTCGCCGGCAGCCATCATTTTGTCTCTAAGTAAAAGCCACCACTCAAGTAAAAGCATTCGGTGAAAGCAGATTCCTACCTTTTACCCAAAGTAAAAGTTGTCTTCATTTCCTAATTGCCCGTGCCTCTACAGTTAGAAGCCTATAAGTTGTCATCATTTACTAAGTGTCCATGCCTCTATAGTCAGAAGCATCCAAAGTTGCCAGCATCTTCCAGACCCCCGTGCCTCTACAAATTCAAGTAGACCATAGTTACTTTCAGTTACTTTAGTTAAAAATCTTGAGTTAGTTTCATCTATAAGAAGAGGCTTCGACCTCAGTTGTAAGCAGAATACATTTTAAGTTTTCGAGTTTTAGAGCTTTCCTTGAGACTCCCTCAAGCAAGCTATCAGTGTAAAACTAGAAACTATGTATCCTCCTCATTGAAGCCTTCCAGTAAAAGTTTTCAGTGTGTATAAATAAATAAAGTTTCTATTTTCTAAATTTATCTTGAGTATTTTCATATATGCATTAATTTGAAGTATCATCATGTTCTTATTTTCAATATTGGTATTTTCATTGATAAGATTCATGCATAAGTTACGTCTCTTCTTATATATCTGCTTCATCACTATCTCTGCTCATCATTCATTTTGGTTTTTGAGTTGATTTTAAGTTGAAGTTGTTTCATTTAGTCGCCTTGGTCTTGTCCTGCTTTCTATGTCCAGAAAAATGCTGAGTTAGAAAGAGGAGTCCCAAGATTAGTCATTAATTATAAGCCCCTTAATTCAGTCTTAGAATGGATTAGGTATCCCATACCTAATAATCGGTTTTGACATAATCGGCTCTGATACCAAAGAGAACTAATTGATAAGATTCATGCAACTCAAAAAGAAATAGCTTCAACTTAAAATCAACTCAAAATCCAAAAGGAATGATTAGCAGAGATAGTGATGAAGCAGATATATAAGAATAGATGTAACT